GGGTTTGGCGTTTCGGCGCTCACGCTCGCAGAATCAGGGCGGGGCATGGTGGTGTGGGGTTTAGGGTCTTGGGGTTTTGGGGTTGAGGGTTTGGGAGTTTGGTGTTTAGGAGTGTTCAGGATTTGGAGGGCTTCAGGCTTGTCAGGTTTAGGGTGCGAACGATTTCGAGCTGATCGGGTTGAAGGTTTCGCTTTCTAGGCTATACCTTCAACTACCAGAGCCCAAGGAATCCTGGGGACCTACAGATAGCACCTTGAGCTTTAATTAGGCTTCTCCCTATCTAGAGCTGAGGAGTTCAGGAGCATAAGGGTTTGACGGCGTGCGCTTGGGATTTGTGGCTTGCGGTGGTGTTCCAAGGTGCTATAGGGCTTCACACTATAAGACCCAAGCAAGACCCCGATCGCGATTTCCCTTGCTAGGTCCTAGATCGTTCAGGAAGTCAGATCTTGAACCAAAAACCCGCCCAAAACCCGTGAAGAGAAATGTGTCAGATGTAGCTGACGGTTTGAGGCCATGCACTGTGTTCCCTGTCGGGTAGTTTCACTCAAGTTTGACCACAAGCCGCAAACACTTACAACCTCCTTGCAAAGCGTCCCAAGACCCGATCAACAAAGAAAGCTTTCCAAACAGCCCTCGAAACCAAAAACCAAACCCAAACCCTAAATCTTGAACCACCCACGGGCAGACCTCCGAGGACGCCGGCGGTCGCGAGAGTGTTCTCCTTGGTCACCTGACGGAAAGTCTTTTCGGTCTCCGACTGAAGTCGTTGATACGGCTTTACAAGCCCTTTATGAAGTTGCAGGTGAAAGTTTAGTGCTCGAGCTTTCGGGCTTTTGTGGGATTCTAACCCCCCCCAAGCTTTTGTTGAGTCATGCGTTGAGGCCGGCATGTATGAAAATTCGAGATCCAAAACCGTAACCCCTAGACCCTGCCAAGGACCTCAGCGGGCCCAAGCAACCACTTGAGGATTGAAGGTCCGTTCCTGCCTTGATGAATTCTTTAGGTCTTTCTGAAATTACCGAGGATTACGGTACCCGAAACAGGAGAGATCCACAGAAAAAAAAACAAAAAAAAACGCCTAGGGCCTAGAATTCCAGGCCCTCTCCCGGGCCTTCACGAGAGCCACGGAGGAGCCGCTGCTGCTCGCGGCCGCGGCCTCGGCCTGCCGAGCTGCGCGGCTCTCCACCGCCGGGGCGAAGGCGCCGGTGAAGCAAAGCGTGGCAGGCACGACGAGAGCCTGAACGTCGCGGTTTCTATTTTGGAAACACGGGTTTCGGGGTGATGAGAGGGCTTTTTTAAGTGATTGCGAACTCTATTTTTTTTTCAAGGTTGACGTCGGCGCATGTGCCTACATTACGCTCTCACATTGGGATCATGCACATTCTTTAGGTCCTCGGGCCTATACAACAGCTTCAGGTGCAATGCCAGGACATGCTATGCAGTGCAGTTGTGCGTTATGTAATGCGAAGAGCTGCACGCTCTTGTAATGGATGTCGCTGGACCTCTCACATTTTCTAGTGTATTGATACATGTATTGATACAACATGCAATGCAACAAAGCGGAATTAGTGTAAAATGCATGCCTGGATAGATCGATGAATGCATACATGAGCCCTAAACCTCTAAACCCTACACTAGGCTTCTATGGGGCAAAGGTGCCAAGAGCAGGGCAGCGCGAGCGGTGCGACCTCGTGCGACGGCCATGGCTTCGAAAGGCAGCGGCGGCGATGGGGACGTTTTGGGCGTTTGGGCCGGAAAGGCTGAGCCAAAACAAAAAATATCGGGACCTTATCCCTTCATCCTTGGAGCAGAGGGTTGAACATGGATTTACAAAGAGCGTTATCCCTCAGAACATGGCCGGGCTTTGGGCCGCATTTTCAAAAATAAAAACGTCAACAGTCTACTCTTCTAGTAACTAATCCGACCTTTAAAAGTATATCATGTAGGCTCCGTACGCACAGGTAAACCTCACCCGAAAACAGGCCTCAGCCCTGTCCTCCAAACGAAGCCTGGATCGCCATGGCCCAGTCCCAAGACGACTACAAAAACCGAAGCTGCACATCAAATCTCACAAACCTCCATTAACGGAAACTACAGATGGGGAGTTTAGGGTATATAGGGCTCCTATAAGGCTTCTATAAGGTATATAGACCTTCTATGAAGCTCCTAAAACGGTAACTACCCACCTGAAAATGTCCTAGACTCCACCCCCAAGCTAAAGTCTCCACCAAAGCACCCTCAAGCCGGGAAGTATCAAAGCGCACACCAGACAAAACCAAGTCGAAATCCGGAGCGCAAAGTGAGCACTAACATCACATGTGGTTGTACACTCTCAACCCTGGACCCGAAAAAATCGGGATGCCCGGTTAAATTCCCCTCAAGGGTTAAGGACCTAAACGTCATGTACTCCCCACAAACACCAGCCTACAGTGACACACTATCCGAAGCCAAGTACCGAATATCGAGCTCTTCGAAACCTCGTGCCCTCGTGGTAAGAGTCCTGAGCCCGAAATGCTACGCTACACTCTGCAAAACCTACATCATTGTTATAAGGACATAGTTAAAACCAAAAACATGATAAGGATCCCAAACAAAAAGGTAGGTTCTTTAGGGCTCAGGTAAACCCTAAACCCGAAACATCCCAAAACCCAAACCAACTAAACCCCCAAACTCTACACCCTGCAATCGTCAACCCACAAGGCCCGTCCTCCGCAAGAGAAGCGCCCGCCCCAAAGATTTCAAGGCTTCCTGTCTCAGTTTTGACAGGTCCTTCGGGGTCCAAGCTTTTCGGTGTTACGGAATCCTTCAACTAGCGTAGGACTCGCAAACTGCCTGTAAAAGAAAAGCCTGCAACTACTAAGATCCCAAACACAAGTATGTTGATTGGATACTTGGAAACCTTGAAATTTGACGGCTTCGGAGACGCGCTCCTGCCGTCTTTGTCTCTCATAGCCACTCGCCACAGCCACAAGCATCTGTCCCCGCTCCACAAACACAAACTGCCGTCTGCGGCTCAGCACTTGCTTTGCATCGCGCTGTACCGGCACCCCAGACTTATGATGGAGTACCAATGTTCAGTGTGCATTCAAAAGTAGGTCGTCCTCAACATCGCCCGATCAAGCTCTGATGCCTTAAAACCCCGAACCTCTTTCTGGGAGCTTAAGCCCAACTCGTCGAGAGTCAAACGTTGGCTTCAGGGTTTCAAGTCTTGCAGCTTTAGGGGGTTAGAGTCGAGTGTTTTAGGGGGCGTCGGTTAGAGTGTCTTGCGGGCTATCGGGTTTGAGGTCTCATAAGTGGCTGCAGGGTTTGCCATGAGCCTCTGGGGTCTGACGGCTTAGATATAGGCTTTGGGTGGTCTTCTGGTCAGGGGCCTCATCGCTGTGAAGCTCCAGATGCGCCAGATCCTCCGGAGGAGGCAGACCTAATCTAAACCCCCAATCCATAAACTTCACGCCGGTATTCCTGGGTTTCTATTGAGAGACTGCTTTCGGGCTCACATGGGCTGTTCTGCGTGTTAAGGGTCTCAGGGTTTAGAGCTTTTCGGATGAAGCCTGTAAACGCCCTTCAGCTCAACAATTGGAGGTGGGAGGTTAACCTTAAAGCCCGAAGCCGTGATTCGGATCTCCTTTGTTTTCGGGATGCTTGATTGTGCCGCGATAGAAAACACCCTCAACTCCAGGATTGTAGGTGCAGTTCAGGCAGCCCTACCACGCCAGCACTAAATCCTCAAACTCAAAAACATCAAATGTCGGATGAAGGCAGGTAGGGTTGAGGATCCCTTCTATGAGGGCCCTTGTTTGGACTTCCTCTGGGGACTTTTGGAGAAACCCTAGACCCCGAACTCCTGAAACCACTCTGAAACTTGACAGATCCTCTAGAGAACCGCTTTGAGACATCCGTTGCAACACAATGGATGTTTGGGCCCATCCTCGGCCAGACGCACAAGCTCCGAGGCGGCAAAGAGGCGCTGAGGAAAAAGGCCCTGTGCGTCGGCCGGCTTACACGGGTTCTCTTTCAGGGCTGCTTCGAAGGCTTCCTTCAAGGGCTTTCGGGTTTGGGGCTTCGTTCTTTTTTGGCGGGGTGATAGGTTTGTACACGAAACCACGACACACACACACAATTAAGTACCTAAAGCGGTGAGAACTTTACAAATACCTGTTGACCCCCCTGGTTGGGGCGTTTGGGCCTCGCCATCTGAGCCGCGAAGGCGGCAAAGCAGCTTCTGCAGAAGCGGGACCTCTGCGAAAAAGCGGGTAAGTTTGAGGACTCGACAACAGAACAGGGTTTTGTGGTGCAGTATGGCGTGATCATATATTCAAACCTCTATATGGAAGACTACCTCAGACTTCCAGTTCCACATCGACAAGTAGAATTAAGAGGAGGGAAGAACTTGCGACTGCCGAGGACTGATCACAAAATGCGTAGTGTGTAGCTTTGCAAGGCTTCGGATGATGGCTTCCCAAGGATGCGCTGAAGTTTCCCAAGAGGTCCGAAAGTTCCAAGGGCATTCAATTGCTTAGGGTTGGCAGCTTTGCGGCTTTTTGAAGCTGACGGACAAGTCAGGCAAGGTGTCTAAGGACGGTCTGACTTGAGAATTCTGGTTTGCCAAGGGTAAGGTCTGTAATGCTTGCAAGCTCGAGCGCCCTATACACAGAACACCCCCGAACGGCGACGGCAAGCGACATCTTTGCCCGGGCAGCTGCGCAGTGGTCGGTATACCTGTCTTTCCAAATGTCAGAGGGTTTAGGGTCTAGGCCCTGGAGGTACTTGGCTTCATAGAGACACCCCTGCCATGGGCTGCAGTGTCGGGCTTAGGAACACGCTGCAGGCTAAATTGAAGCCTCCATCTAGACTGCACTGTGTTGTCAAGTTGCCATTCTGTTCTGTGTGTTCAGTTGTAGCCGAACTAGCGACAAATACAACTCCCGAAGCAGCCCAGCGACCATGTGACCAACAGTGCCGTCTGCCACCTGACGCCATGCACAGTCGACAAGTTCGTATCGTCAGAGTGAACCATTCAAGAAGTTGGGGGTTGTAAAAAGAGGACCTATTGCGACAGGTATCCTGACGGTTCATAAGATCGGGTTTCCCATGCCAGGATGCCACGTAATGTGCTTTACGTGCGATAACACCTTAATCAAATCGCAACAACGCAACCCTGTACATGCAAATCCTGCAGGGTAAACTGCCGAGTCCAGCATCCTATGCAAGAGAACCCTAACCCCCCGGGTATATACTATATAGGGTACTAGAGCCCCTAGGGCCCTATATAGCAGGTACCTGGGCGGTTAGGAGAAGCTTAAAGTGTAGTACCTCCGCGGCTCTAAACTCTTATCCTCAACAGGATGCCCACTCAGGACCTCAGTAAATGCGAACAGTCCCAGGCTAGGTTAACTAGCACAGCCCCGTCGCTGACCTTTTCGGCACCACGAAGCAAAGGGTCCAAGCTAGCATGACAGTCAGCAGGGAAATTCTGAATCAAGGGTCCTCGACATATAACCATAACCATATACTGTACCGCTGGATTCTTCAATGTTGAGCCCTGAATACCGTGCCCCCCCGGCAAACCCCAACTTTTCCTCCTAACCCCCAACGTTCCTTGCATCGCGGAAAACCGCGGTTTTCGGATTAGAACTCCAGAAGAATGGGATCATCGCCTGCCGCCCTGCTGTGTTGTAGGTTTTAGGGCTTACCTGCAGCCACCTCCTACAGGGCTGAAGAAGACGCTGCAGATTTTTGGGCGGTTTAGGGTTGGGTTTATACAAGTTGAAGAAAACCCTGAAAGGAATCCTCTTTTTTGTATTTAAGTATAGCAGGCCCGCGTACTACCGTGTCTAGGCCTATAGGGGCTTGCCTTTACGAGCCCGGGACTCCTAAGCTGCGGCCTTGGTCCCGCAGCCATCTTTGCAGACCAACTGCAGGCTCCTCCAGCTTGTAGTGGAAGATCCCTAAACCCTGGAGCCAAATGGTCCTCAGTACTAGTCCATAGGCCCCTTAAGTAGTTTGTTTTGGGATTACCTTATAGGATTCTAAATATAAACCAGAAAAAAGGAACTACTTAGGGGCCCATGGGTAGTCCATGATGGGAAGTTAGGCTATCGGCTAGAGTAGAGGGTAGTTGGCGGGTCGGGGAAATTGCTGTACTTCAGGCATCCTATTTCTCCTGTTGGGCGAACCTTACAACAACGGTTCTGACACAAGTATGCTGACAAGGGCGTCATATATGCTACTTATGCATTGATCTCTCTTGCACATCCTTTTGTTGAACCCCCAGGCTCTGCCGAACAGCTGGGAAGCAGCACTGCATGACTTCAAACCCAACCTCAAACCCCAAACCCTAAACCCCACATCATTAACCATGTCGCAAGCAAGTCCTCTGCTTCCCTGAGGCTGCTGGCGCAGAGCTTGCAGGGCATGGAATATCCTGGGCTGAATGAAGTCTACCAAGGCCCTCTACATACCCTTCTACTTTACAAAAAGAGGCTCTCAGTTTAGGGTGTGGCGCCAGAATTAGGGCTTTGGGGCTCGAGGGATTCTAATCGTCCTGCTGCAGCGTATGCTGTCGGAGCCTAAGGAAAGTCTTGAGACAGAGCCGGCATTGGAGACCTATTGGAGACATTCATCTTGCTAAACTATCACAGACGCGACGAGTTCTGCATAAAGAGAGATCACACGTCCACTTGGTGAGGCCGCTATGCTTCTGT